GGATACGTTTACACGAATACGAATATAATAAATGACTACACAGGTATATAATATATTCTAGCTGTATAGTTTGTATATTATATTATTTTTGTTCCGTCGTTAATTTCTACGGACATTTTATTATATTGCGTTGTCGTACGGACTATATATAATGTTATGTTTCGCGTCGTATGTTGCCGCGGGCGTGCTGCGGCGGACATTAATATTATCGTCGTTATATTATTGCGCGTACATAAAAATTTATACCGTTTTATTAGTTTGTCTCTAGATAATGTGTGTGTATAGATAATATTATACTTATATTATTATATTCGTTTACTTGCCTGACAAAAATAATTACGCTTCAAGATTATAGTATCCAGATACCTAGCTCTTGTAAGTAGGTATAGGCAGCAACCCGATATTATATCACTACTATATAGGTAGAGGAACCTATATAAGACGACGATCGGTATCTGAATAGTCATGGTCAAAGCATATATTATTATAATATCTGCATTTAAACATTTTTGTTTTTTTTATTATTGTTATACAAATTGAAGAAATAATTATACCGGAACTCCCGAAAAATATGATTTGATGATACGATGTAAATAATGTAAATAAAATAATACTGGTGAATCGCTTATCTACGCGTGTAAACTGAAACAATTGTGTTTCAATAACGAGGGTTTACAATGTTTTAGCCGATTTTCCATAGGCATTTGCAAGCTCTCCTATGATCGCAACAAGTGCGTTGGTCAACAAAAATCTCCAGTTTCAAAATTGTTCTAAAAGTGCAAGTGTGTGCAGCTGTGAAAAATTGACGATAAATTCTGTGCAAACGTAACTCAACAGCGGTATCTTCTCAAGCTCCCGAGTGCACTCGGCGACTTGATACACTTCAATATTAAATAATATACAATATTGATATAGGTACCTAAATCATCATAGATAATATTATAAACCGTGAAGGCCGTGAACGTATGTTTAACTATAAGCCCTACAGTTTATATTTTATAGTGATATAATATCACAATGGCATCAGGATGTCTAAAATGCAACGTTTTCAAACGAACCGTACACAAACGATATTATATATTATACACATCTTATACTTGTGCTATGTACGCGTTATTAAAGAAACGACGATCGTACGCTGGCTGTCATTGCGGTTTTGTTAGAATATAGGTCTTCGGGAATGATATTATACATGTATAGGCGCCTACTTTTGTTTGACCCATACTAATTTATTGTTGCATGCTGAATATGACCGTAAACCCGAAGCACAAGAATAATACTGCAACATCCGTCATGTTTATTGATATTGAAGTTATTTTCACAAAACGACAATTTTTTTATTTCAAAAACTTTATAAAAATTACTTTAATATCATATATTCTGCGGAATAATCGGAACACAAAACCGAAAAAATGAAATAATAAATCAGCATTCAGAGGGGAAAACTCAACTTTGAACTCATAAATGAATTGCAAGATCAGCCGATCTAGAATCAGGCACACAAGAATTACCCATAGAATTATCATGGTAAAAGAACCTTCCATGATACGCGTAGCATGTGCAGGTGTCAAGATCGCAGTATAGCACTTATTAATGAAATGTCAACGATATGAAAAGAATCTCAAATTCTCAATATAACGGGAAGCCTGGGCGCTACTCTTGAACTCAATCCTGAATAAAACAAGAAAATTCTGAAAATCAACCAATTTAGTCAATAAAATATATTATAATCGAATGATAATTATAACACTTTGTAAATACTTGATATAATTTTAATTTTAAATGTATTAAACTGTAATTGCCTATGCTACTGAGTTATTATTGAAATCAATAATACCAAAAAAAATATCTTATGATTCCATCCTTCGGATATGAAAGATAATTATTTAATAAATATATGGTTTCATATATACTTGAATAATATACATTAAAATATTAAATATACCTACCATCTAGTTGTTAACTGTTAAAAATTGAAATAGCAACAACCAAAGTTATAAAATATACCTGTACCCGGTATCTATATAGTATGTACAATGTGCATATTATAAATTATATAGACATATAATATTGCTATGATGGCCACCCTGTAGTATTTTTTATGCCCATAAGATCTTCTTTTTTCACAACATCGTATAGAATTTCAAATTATTATTTACTCTTACGAAAAAGCAAATAAGTATAAAAGATAATAGATTTCATTAAATACGAGAGCACGAACGAATATTCATCCACTGTGAACAGCTGTCGTGTACATTATGTGTTACCGTATACCTATGTGGCTATGTATAATATTATACTATACGAATATATTAACCTGCTCGTATATTATAAAATAAAGCGGAGAAGCGAAAAATAAACAATATTCGGCCGACTTGAATCTCAAACACTTTTGTTACCTGCGGTATATATATTGTATGGCATACTTTATATTGTAACTTAAAGGTTATACGATTTATTTATTATTATTATTATTATTATTATGGCAGGTACACACATACTTTCGATATAATGTTAATAATTATTACCAAAGTGGTAATAATAATAATTGTACATGAAATGATGTCGCGGTTAATGTGCGGTGCGGGATATTATCATAACGGCGTGTGTATAATATAATTTATAATAATAAATAACAATCCCATGCATAAACCCACACGAAAATGTTCACATTGGCGTGTACAGAAAATTATACAGCGTACGTAAATGGCTATTTGGCTGTACCACATATACATATATTATTATATATTAGGTATAGAGTTTGACCACTGGATTGGGTCGCCGGTGCAGGGCAGAGCAGTGTAATGTAATATTATTACACGAAATTAGGTACGGGTTTCGTATATAATATATAAAGGTGGTGTGCCGTCGCGGAAACGTCGAAAACAGTGGAAACGGAGAAAAAAATTAGAAATAAAAACCGCACGAACCGTTGTGGGTGCAGCAGCAGCAGAGTGGTACCTACCTACCTACATAATATTATTCCTCCGCGCTGATGACAGTTTTGTATAGGTATACTTATCTCAACATGAAAAGTATAAAAATTCAAAAGCAAAGCAAAATAAATATTAATTATGCTAACAAAAAATCTCTGGGAAAAACTTCTCCACTGTTGTCCACCTCCTCAAAGATACGCAACTGTGGACAGCCAGGTAGTAATATTGCATTCACGCATACATATACTATATCCCTACCTATTGAGAATTGACCAATTACTATGATAATTTATAATTTTATAACAAAAAATGTTATATAATGTATGTAATGATTTAATCGGAGTTTATTTGTGTGCAGACTCGGCTTTTCGCTGACGGGCCGGCGTCACAAATATTTGTCGGTGACGCAATTCCGCAGCAAACTGTAAACCACTTCTTTTAGTTTTCGTATGATAATATACTATTATACATAGGTACATTAACACCACGATTATATGTGTTCAGTTTCGTTTTTGGATATTCAATGTACGATTTATTCTTTTCGGATTTAATTAAAATATCAAACAATGAGGGTGGTCAGTAATGATAATAAGTACATCCCAATCGGTTGTTTTTTCGTAATCGCCTCTACATAATCGCAGCTCTATAGCGGCCGATATACGCGGTGAGAATATAATAATCGTAGGCGTATACTGCTGCAGAATGTCGCCTATAATAATAACAATATTATTATAATTTACCACAAACCGCCGCCGCCGCTGTGCTGCAGATCGTACGGTGTGGTGGATTGAAAAAAAAAACGCAAAATCGACGAGAAAATCCAGTTTTTCGACCGCGACGAGATGGAAATCGCGACCCGACCACGGTGCGCAGACGACGAGATGATCGTATCATCTGCGCGCGATCAGCGACGGGCGGGGAACTGAATATAATGGTAATAAGGAAACATCGGAAAAAAAAATACTCGCCCAGAGTAGTCGCTCGGCGGGTGGGCGGCGGTCGCAGGGGAGGGGCAACACCGCTTCACAGGGTAAATCGGACGATGCGGCGTCTTTCGGTGGTGCAGCGGGTTGGTTGACGACAGTGGCGGTGGCGGCGGCGGCGGCAGACAAACGAGTTCGTCGCGAGCGCGGGGAATGTCGAAACGAGCGCGCGCCGCCGCTAATTAGAGGACGTCCCGTGAGCGCGCGCGAGAGATCGCCGCGGCGCGTGTTCTAAATAAAATCGGACCTTAATGAGACCGGCATACCTCGTCGTCGTCGTCCTCCGGAGGGCATCTTGCACAGAGGCTCCTCTGATTTATGGCCGGTTTTCAATTCGTACCTTTATTTTTTTCGTTCATATCCTATATATAGTACGCTCCTTTTCGCTCTCGACTGACCATTGTCCGGCCCGACTGCCCGACCAACTATATATATATATATATATTATATAATGTAAGGTAGCTATATACAATATTATAAGCGTTTATAATAACATTTTATAATTTCTTTTTTATCGTATAAATACTTATAATATATCGTACTTCGCTGTACCTTATACGTTCGAGAGGAAAATTGTAGTAATATTATACTATATAGATTGTATATAGGTACCTATACAAATATACAGACGGGTTAATAAAAAAACATGTCCATTTTAACTGATAACACAAATATATTTTCAATATTAGTAGAATTAATTACAATTTTTGTTCGCTATCGTTTTAAAAAGTTGAGATCATAATATATCGTTTAATGATAGTTACAATATATTCATACACAAACAAAAATAATTTACACAAAATATGAGATTTTACAATTATTAAAAACATAACAAAGTGATTAAAATAATAATCCTAACAAACACATTATCTTAATATTAATATTTTAACATTGCACTACGAAATGCATAATATGAAGCTCGTTAGAAATAATATAATTATATAATATAGGTATTGTTTTTAATGCGTATATAAGTTAAGTAAAATATAATAAAATCGAATAAACCATTTGATATAATATCATTATAATATAATATAACTACGAACCAATAATGATATTACTTGTACAAAAAAACTTTCTGTTTTTTTTTATTTAAGGTTTGGCACATAGATTCACATATGAACGATATACAATTCATATATACCGAGCGTACATTATAGCATTACATAAACGTACGGGAGAGGGAGTTAAAAGTACCTTTTGGTTCAGATGCTACAGCAGTAAAATAGGGTAAACAATTAAAATATAGTATAATAAGCGTGACATCTGCATAAAATAATAGAGACATGGGGTAAAAACGAATCTGTAAATCTCATGATTTTTAGTGACAAAATATAGTCGGGACTCTAGTAAAATATATGCATGGAAAATTCGTTCGTATATATTTGTATAGTCTCGTCGACTGGCGTGCGTTAAAGTCTTTAAATTACCAACAGTATAATATTATTGTATATTATTATCGTATCATACATATTATAATATATATATATTATATGCAATCAATTTTACGAAAAGCAGTGCAAGAGCTGAACTATTTACCTACCAGTCAGAAATAAACGATTATGTATTATAGATTTCTATAATGTATAGTACATTCTCTCACACGCTCAGAAATTTGACATGCCGTCTAGATGTCATATACATTATAAGTATCTATAAGGGTAAATGCACGTTCATTGTGTATTAATACATTTTTTTTGAATTTTTATGTAAACAGTTTCAGATCACAGCCGCAGAACCCTTCTTCTATGTCAATAAGGAAAATATGATAATATAATATGTACACGAGTCCTTGCCCACTTCCTTCTCCTCATCCTACCTTTCTGGTGAACCCGTTCAGCAGAATGCAATTTCTGCTAACTCCACGCGCGAACGAATTTGCATTGCATTAATTATAAGATTATATTATGAGTATACTATCCACGAGTATACGACTGCTCGTTTGACGAAACGAATATCATATTTTATATGCATAGCAGTTGCAGTTAGCGATCTTTGTTTAATAGCGTCCACTGAAAGTATAATGTATAGATTACCTTTATATGGCTACATAAAAATATAAATCTAAAATGGCTATTTTACACATATTCTGTACAAAATAAAATATTATTATAACATGACTTTTGAACATAAAAAATAGTTTTTAAACAACGTAAATCAACAACGGTTTTGGTAACCCTGTATAGTATGTAATATATAACAGTTCCTACTTAGGTACCATACGCATAATACGTAAAGTATATAATACCTATATCACGTCCGTACGGTACCTATCTTATCCTAGACATATATATTTATACATTATATATTTATATATATATATGAACGTATAATATATGATGTATTTTTTGAAGGTTAACCGGCCAGAATGCAACCTGGAGCTTTGTCTGCCTTGACGGCTTGCCTCCATTCCTCCAGCCTGGGCGCACATCGCAGGGCCAATTCGTCGAACTTGGTTCGGGCCATGAACACGAACTCACCGGGCCCGGCGGCAGGCCTGCAACCCCGACCGAACGTAATGGTCATCGGCCGGTCGTCTCGCACCACCACCCGATCGTCCTCTTCGGGTGGCAGACGATGCGCCTTGGTGGGCATTACGCGCACGCGCGACACATCACCGTCGTAAGACACGCCCACTATAGTGCCTTGGACCACTGCAAAAGAGGAAAACAACAAAACAAATTATTACTGTTTCGAATAATATTTTTTTCCTATTCTATTTATATTGCATGGTAGGTAAATACTAAAATTTAAAGCTTTATTCACGGTTACGATCTGTGGCATACACACGGTTGGGAAGGTTGGGTGTTCAAACCCTTTTGGATTTTTTTTTACTTTAATGTTTTGATATAATACAGAAATATAGATGTATAATTTTTTATGTACCCCCCCCCCTTAATACCATCGCAAATGTCTGTGTATACTCTACTGTACGCATATTTAATAATATAATGTATATACAGTGATTGCTGCTTGGGAGGGTTTATTGATTTTCCCTTAAAAACTGGTATACACACGGCTTTAGAAACAATAAAATCGAGTAAAGTGAGACTAGTGCCGTTGTGGGCACACTACGCTACAAAATAGTTATACTCAATAGAATTCTCGTCTGTATTCCACACGTGTCCGACCTTATCAGTAAAATTCACCTCTCACCGAATAATATTTTAATCATTAACTGGCTCGCCCGAAAATATTTTCAGAAAGGTACCTATTTATACCTATAACTATCAATCTATTATAGTATCATATATGCATATAGGATTTGAAAATATTTATATATATAAATATAAATTCAGAATATGGGCACCTGATTATTAAACAAGTTAACAATATAGTGTGGAATGGTAATAGAAAACAAAATACATTGTGCTGACGCCGTAAAAAGCTCTAGCACAATATAAAATAGTTATATATCGATTTCTAGTAGTAAATTTCCTATAGGTACATGTTATATATCTATTCGCGTGTAATTAAAACACAATTATGTACTATTCTACTTATTATATAAGAATACGACGCATGGAAAAATTAATTTAAATAGAAACTTAAGAAGTACATCGTCATCACCATAATCATCACTATTGTATTAATAAACGACGTTTTAAAAATGTACTTATATATTACTATTATTATAATTATTATACCTACGCATATATAAATTAATAATATAAATTTGTACGTTTCCCACACTCGCTTTTGACTATCCTCGTATTGTTTATCGGGAGATACCGGTAACACACTAACACGTAGGTACGTATCGTATATCGTTATTTGATAATAATTAAAGGAACTCTCCTAATTTCTGTAAAGAAGTATAGAGCCGGTACCTATATAATTTAAAGATAACAATGGTCCAATCAAGTGGGCAGTGATTAGAAAAGGGATAATTAACATATAAATTATTTCATTGTAGGTACTCGTATGTTCATAAAATAATATATATTTTACTATATTTTGTTAAATCTATTTAAAAGCCTTAAATGTATTGGATTAAACGTCCCGAATTGTATACGCGATAATCAAATCGATTATACATAACGGGGACGGTTTGGTTAATGTGGTCATTGATTTTTGAAACACGCACCCAACCGTGAATATTCATAAAACAGTCATAAAAATCGAGTAAAAAGTATAAATATACAATGAATGATCGAAACTCACCTAAACTACTCGTGCAGTAAGCTTGTGTCATTTCTTCTACGGTACACGGCCGGCACTCTGAAAATAGAAAAAAAATATATATAATTAAAATCGTATTAAAGATGGCACTGTAAAAATAGCTTTTTCACTATTATATCACTAAAAAGTAAAAATAAAGCCAAATGTTTGACTGCTTCGTGTAATGTCTGTTTTTTTCTTCTTAAATTGACATATAATCATACGACGTTCCACAGCAGGATAGGCGTAATTTTCTTTTAGATTAGTCTATGTCGTATATTATTTTATTATATATAGTAGGACAGTAGGTAGTTGAGATACCGAACGCATCTTTACACGTCGAATTATCATATTATTTATAACTTACTCTTGACTCTAAAGTAGTATTAAAATCCAATAAACTGTCCATAGTTAGGTCTAGTGTTATAAAGTTATAATAATTATAGCCTAGTGTTGTATCTGGTTAAGGAGCTCCAGATGCATATAATATTATTTATAATATGTACATGTATATGTCCAATAAAAGGCCATTTATGTTAAACAGCCCATAACTTTTTTAAATAAAAATCACCATTAGCGTATTTCTTCGATGGCCACCATTTCCCATTGTTTATGGTGTTAATAAATAAATATTATAACCGAGTAATAAAAGAAAAAAATCATACATAATATAGTATTATATATACAACAGAAATAAAAGTGTATACAGTGTGTACTTTGTTAATGTAGGCGAAACCGGTATTTTTCAACAACGCGTACCTATGTGGTTTTTTTTTATCTTGAGGTTTCTCCAGTAAATTTATGGCCGGTCTATTTTTATTTTTTTTTGTGACTTCCAACGAGGACTTTGATAGTAAGCGTTTACTGGCTGAACGTAGGTCAAATATCGCATTTAACATATGATCTCAGAAGAAAAAAAAATGATAATATCGAGAATATATTATACTCATGTCAAAATCAACTTTTTTAAGTATACGCAGTTAAAAAATAGTCCAGAAAATGTCTCATTTTTATAGCCTGCACGATTTATATGCATATTGTATACATGTAACGACGCGTGCTTTTTTTTATAATACTTAAATTATGCAGGTTATACGCAATTCAGACTAGTTGTTGTAGAACGAAGTAAAATCATTCTGATTGCGTAACAATGAGTAAACACGCCTAAAGTTGTCAAAAACACAATGCTTTTGTGAAAAATCATTATCTTCTCTATACTGACTATAATATATAGTAATATTTATATTATGTGGTTAAGCAATATTATTTTACACTGGTTCCATTAATTACGGCCCTATATTATAGTATAGACTTGTAGTGAAAACCCAATGTCTGCACTCGAGAAGGTCGGAAATCTTAGACAAATGCTTATTGTTAAGCTCATTTTCTATTGTTTCTGTAATGAAGTAAAGAAAATTAGGGTCAATGATCATTTCAACGAACAATATACCTGAGACACCTGCCCGATTTAATTCATTCCTATACCTATAATATACATATGGCAATATCGGCGAGACGCCGCGTGTCATTGTTATTTCATATTATAATATATTAACAAACTCGGACGGCTTAAGACAAGCGTGATCGATGTACGGAATAAAAAATAATACCTATAACATACAGGTACAAACAAAAAAACTGTATATTATTATATTATTATATTATCTATCTTGTAATCTCGGTTAGTTGATGGACAGACGCGTGTTAAAAACGAAATATATGAACGCGATCACGTACATATTATACACGATGTACAATTATTTATGTTATTATGAAACGGGTCGTCCCCAATTTTAAATCGCAAAACGTCCGTTCAAATAGCACCGGTCAAAAAATAATAATCTAAATATTATTTCAGATAATATATTATTTCAATAATAATTATTATTATACAAGACAAGTCGTTTTCTCTTTAACGTCATTGTTTCTTTATTTTTTTAAAAAATCTAATTTTCTTATAATTACAGTTGTCGGTATACGCACAGATTTTAAATCCCATCAATAAAGCGATATTTATATAATATAAAAAAAATAATAATTCCTTGCGTAGGTACTGTTTAATGTTAAAGTATATTATACGCGCCATGTGTGTGTTCGCCTCTTTATTTACATTTCAATATTATTATATTATATTATAAATTACCTGCTATTCCAGCAACACCTACGTAACACCGTAAGGCTGGATAATGCTACTTGGGAAAATAAATATGTTTTATTTTTTGGTTATTATTATTATTAATTTATAGTAACGGACAGCTGATCTTGTATGCCGTCGGAAACCGCCTAGGTATAAGACGGTTTTAACGCCATGCTTGTCACGCCCCATCAGATTAAAAACTACATATGTTTGTGAAAAGAACATTTGAATGTTAATGGTGTTAATAGTTTATTTCTTCGATAGTCATTTCAAGCAGATAATAATATATAAAGAATGGATGTCGGATGAAATAAGTAATTTGATCGATTATAAAATATGTTTTACACGGCTGCGATTGGGTTCTGCAGTTTTGTGGACTAAAAAACGAGTTTTGTTAAACGATTCCAATTTATTTTTTTTCATACCTGCAATCGTTATTATAGACAACAACAAAATGTATTATTTAATTTCAAATACTAAAATAACATTTTCGCCCAACGTACTTTTGTAGTTCGTGGGCAGCCTAATTAAATGTTATGTAACAATTTTTATATTGATCAAAGCTTTTGCATTCTATTTTATGTACTGAGCGGAATGAGCGGTATTGGTTTTACAATATTATTGTGAGTGTGTTTTTTTTCATCTGTCATCAACAAGGAGTAATAAAAATGTTTCTAACTTGAAATTCATTGGTGATTTTATGAGGAAAATTGAATCTATTTGGAAAAGGGAGGGGTCAAAAATAAAAAATTCCCCATACATTCAAAATAATTGGGAAAAACAAAAAAAAAAAAGGAAAAAACTGGAATATTTCTTTATTTTGTTGTAATTTAAAAACCATAATATTATGTACTAACCGTTATAGATATTTAAAATATTCGTCAAATATTTATATTCTCATTTTATGGACATATTATTATTTTCAAAATCGTTGCGGCAGCTTTTTAATATATTTAGATGCATTTGACATTTTGCATGAACAGAAATGATATTTTCAAAATATTAGTAAACCTGTACTTATTGCCCACAGAAAACTTTTATTTTTTTGCTGTAAGTACAGATTTGAACTTTTACACTATTAATCCATATGACTACTATAAAATAAAAAAATTATAGGCAAGTGTTTTTTTTAATGAACGTGAACATATATTTTTAAGTTTATTTAGTTGTTTGTAAAAACATATAGGTACCTAATAAAATATTATTCATTATTGGTGCATTCATTTTCTGTGTCGATTGTGTCAACAATTTCACAATCGACATCAAAAATTGAAAACTGTACTTCGATATAATACCCAGTGACTATTATTTTAATCGACGAACGGTAAATATTAAATAATAATCTGCAAATATTATTGTCACGGATTGTCTTAATGTTTGTTGAATTTTTCCGATTACGTCGAAACAATGTATTCAACCGTAATAAAACAAATCAAATTATCGCGATTACTTGACTTATTGGTGCTGAACCGAATAAATATAGTTTTTTAATTCGATCAGTCTTGTTTGTGTCAATATACTTAATAGCTATTTATATTATTGTGAAGTAACACACAATGACGACTAGGAAAATGAGATATTAACGAATAAATAATAATATTCTGAGATACTTTTGGGCTGTATAGTGTACATGTACAATGTACATACTACACTGATTGTAAACTTGTAACCGACACTTTCTTGCCGAATTTAATTTCTGTACAAACTTAAATTTGTTTTTAGTAATATATTGTACTCCTTACAAAAAATTGGAGTCAGATCCTTATAGATAGGTTCAAGTTAATCAGTATTGGTACACCGGTGAAACATGGGCGGATAATTTTTTTAGAAAGACTAGTCATTCTGTTTCTTTGTCAATATAATTATTGTGATTCATGATCACGAAGAATAAATTATTATATAATTTATTGTTCAGAATCTCATAGTTTGAATAATTTATTATTTCGAATCAAATTTAACTAATCATCAATATTATTGCAGACCATCAAAAACAAATATTTCCAGGGAGAATCTTTCTAGCCAGTCTTTTTGCGAGTCCCTCGCAGGCTGAACCTGTCTGCAGCATTTGAGAAAATAGATCGAAAGCCCAACTAATATAAATTTGATGAATTTGCGACCCAACTCGAGTTTATCCATATTATATAGTTATAGGTTCTATTACCGCGTTAGGTAGGATGCATATAGGTATAGATATGTATAATAATATACAGTGTGTACTAATGTAGGTATTAATATGGTAATCGCCGAAACTTACCGTCATCGAGGTTGTCGGCTACGAACAGTTGAGGTGCGGGCTCGGCGAGTGGTTCGAGATCGTAACGGAACCGGACGGGACCGGACCGGTCACCCGTCTTGTCCGCCTCCACGTAGAAAGCGGCTGTGCCACCGACGCTCTTGAAGCACCGCGACCGGAGCGGCTCACCGGCCTTGCGGTAATCGTATACGGCGATCAGGCGACGAGGTGCGCTGTCCAAGAGCACACGAACGCCGTCCAGCCTGTCCGGTTTGAGGCAGACGCGGAACTCGCGACCGCCACTGGTGCCCGTCAACCGGAATACCACCCTTAGAGCTCCCCGAGGGTACGACCAGCGCACCGTGCCCGCCCAGCACCGGTCCAATCGAACGGGCCGCACTGAGTGTTCTGACGAATCCGACGTCAGTCCGCTAGGAAAAAAAAACGAAAACATTTTAAAATTATATATGATAAGAATATTTGAGTTATGGTCAGACAATATCCAGTTGACTACCTGCTCGAGTACAATTTTATTTACAGAATATTTTAATAGGAGGCTATAATAATGAAATATTTAGGTTTCTCGTAAAACTGTGATAGGTTTGCATATATTTTCCTTCCTCTTAAATCAATTTGTTCCTCGTAATATATAATACATACATGCGTAGTATGTACCTAAACAATGAATATTTTTAAACGATACGACCTTTTAGATACATACAGTATACATACCTTGTAATATATAAACATATGATATTATATGCTCGCCGGGAGTATATAAATCGACATGTCAACTCCTATAATTATATATTATACACACATTTCAAGTGTCTAGTGTTTACGTTAGTATTACTTTAGATGATGTATAAATATTATATACCTATAGAGTTTACGTGGACAAAAACGTTAATCAAGTCACTGATGTCAGACTCAACATTTTTTTTTCATAATAACGGAGTAATATAGCTGTGGCATCGACGAGACAAATATATTAACATAAACTATAACATAATTAATATCGTCTATACGCGATGGTTGTATATTTTATGATGTACAAGTAATAATTATTTCCGTAATCAACTCGATTTAAAAAACTGTTATAGCAATTATGCACGATAAATTTTTTTTAGATTGTTTTAATGATCCGGAGAAAATATGTTATTTTGAAGTGGGTGCAGGTCCCAAAATATACGAAAACTATGCGTTTTGTCGATGACACGTGCGGTCGAAATTCTTCCCGTTCGCCCTTAGGATTCTTTTATTTATGTTTACGGACGAAATGTAAATTTTATTACACTGCAGTTTCCCTGTGGGCAATTTTGTGTCATGTATACATTACCGCCGACAAACGTCAGTGTACAAAACGCCTGCACCAGTAATAATATCCACAACGTAGGTATACCTACATTATATTTGTAGTAAAATAATACGTATTTAGTAGTCGAGAACTGGCGGTACCTATTATATAGGTAGGTGTATATTATAGTATATGCAAATCGAGCTATTACTGCACCAAAACCCGAAACGCCGTTCTATTATTATTTCGTTTGAACTATAAAAACGATCCGGAATAAATTATCTATATAATAATACGCACACACGCGTGCACTTCACCATTGACACCAGATTTCAACACGTGTTGGGAAGAACGCCGTTTAAGATCGTCTCGAGGGCCGTAGCCGATTGGATGTTTTTTAATCGTCCGGGGCTAACACTTGTTAAGTATGTTGTGGGGGTGGTTGAAAGTCATCATCCCTCTCTCCCCGGAATCGAATGACATTGATCCGCGTCGACGCACACCGTCGATAATGCTCGATAACCTGCAACGAGCTCAACGAATGCCTACAATTTTATATGGGTAGATACGTACGTGCTATTCTTTTTTTATGTAGTATAATATTATGACCCGCGACGGATTAATTCTATGATTAATGTCTTAACACGGTGGTCGTTATACACGTTATATTGTTTCGGCGTTTTGTCTTCTCGGATATAGAAATAAATGTATGTACGTGTACGAGTATACCGGAGCGTATAAGGGGCACAACAAGCGTCATAAAATTAATATATACTAATATAACTACCGGCCGGACACGTATATAATAATATGTAGTTCATAAAAAATAAGGTTAACCTTGAGTTGAAACAACGATGTATATGTGTATTATATACGACGGCTCTATATGCACGCCTCTAATGATCTGTATCGACAAATATTTTCGAAATAACGCCGATCCACATCGTGACGTGTTGTAAGTACACACGCTGGATCAAAATATAATAGTATAATATACTTTAATGGCGAATGAAATGTCATCCCGGGTTTCAGGTCGAACATAATATACGTACTAAGCACATACATAGTGTGTGTCTGTATAATGCTGCTATTAGAGGATATTGCATTGTGAATATAATATAATAATGTAAAATACATTAATATATACTTTATATATAACACTGCAGGCGTCTATACTTATATATATATATATACATCAAGTAGTATAATTATAATGGACCTCGTGTGGGGATTTGCGCCGACAGTAATGATATTAAATGATCGACGACGAAGTCTTACAGCGACAACGGACCACCGGGGAAGACGGGGCTACGCATCGGCCGCCAAGTTCCGATTATCCCTATACCCAGGCCCATTGCGCATCCGTCTTGGATATTAATGATGGAGGTTAAGGATAATACGAAACTATCAACACACTCCGCGGTCTATGGTGGGACATAATAATATTATTATATTATATTATATGAAAGGTCTGCTTACGAGTGCCCTTTCGTCTTGTGTACTCGTTATATACAATCCAAACGCGTGATGAATGATAGTAAGGTACCCAACACTCGCGTAATGTGATGTCTATGAGATTTTTTCGTACCATAATAGTTATTAATTTTGTCACTTCAGTGAATAATAATAATAACAGCTCGACTGGAGTAATTGATTTTCGGAGGCATTGAGAAGCAGCTCTTTTCTATTTCATTTTTTTTTATTTCGTAGCCCCGCGTGTAGCCTTTTTACTAAAGACCCATTATTTATATACAAAAAAAAAAGGAAAAAAATACTGACCTATTCTCTTGGTATAATAATAATATGTTTTGTAAATATTATTTTGATTTTTATGGTGGTTACAAAAGAAATAATAACACGGTCAGTGTACGGTGGTAAATCTGTCCAGACGTCGCTGGTATATAGTGAAACTAGGACCCACTAGGGTCAAAAACTCGAGTGTCAGCTGGCAGATGTCCCCCCTCCATCATCCCGTTTGCACATGTATATTATAATAGAGTTTGTTTGGGGTTTCTTTAAACAGGTAGACAGGTATGTATTATAAACTTTATAGGTAGCGCACAATGGCCATACCGCCGCCGCCGCCGATATTATTGGCTCTTGTGGCTGCTCCGTTCATTTTATAATATATATTTAATAATATATTGAATTACCTGTGCCCACGTTTTCCGTCAAAGGCTATTTAATTATGATAAACCATGATAATAATATAATAATGCATACACGGGCGTTTATGACGTCGTTACGGAACGTCTCTATTGTGACGAGAAAAGAGAACCCTTCTACACAGTCGTATATAGATATGGTGAATAATAATCGTTTTCATGAATCAAGAGCGTTTATATTACGTATAATGAAATCCGCAACGAGAGTAATATTCAACTCACGACGTCTCGCAAAGTCGTCTTTCACTCATTGTCCGTATACTGGAAAAATTGAAGACATCATAATATAAATTAATCTGTTTTCCATACTGCAGACGATTAGTTTACTAACAAAAAGAGTAGCAAAAAGATATTACTACTTGTGGGGACGATACAATATAATATATTATTATAGAATATAGAAAGATTCATTTAGCCTATATGGGTATACCGTATACATAATATTATTTACACGTATGATAGATAATAAGAACACTTATTTTAGATATTTTTCAGTTCTTGTACACGCTCGTTCAGCGTGTAAGCTGTTCGCGAGACGTGGAGACTATCCCGACAAAGAAATTCATCGAATACTCGAATCGTTTCACCCGGATATTATACGTTTTTCCTTCGAGCAAAATGTATTAATCACCGTCGGAGTTACAACATTAATTATATACATATATATGCTACTATATGTGCTTGCGGTAGTTTTTCGTGGACAGTCGGAAGACAATAGAGCCGTGGAAATGTAATGTCGAGTTCCTTGGTTCACAAGTCACAACTATTATAATTTAAAAGTAGTAGAGATACCTACTAATAATAATATGTACGTGTAATATGTATCGAAGATATTAAAATCGTATCATCAACCGTCTTCCTGGGAAAAAATAAAAAAAACTCGAGATTTCTCACAATAGGCCATCAGAAATATTCGACGTCAGTTCTCACCGTTTTTACCGATGTTTATTACATTATACCGGTGGTCACTTGTAAACGACGTGTCGGTGCCACTCTCAACAGAGGTCTATGAGATTGGAATGAGGTAAAGTAGCGGAATCGAATAATGTTAATCGCCACAAAGAACAAATGACCGCAACACGCAATTATCGTGGTATTATATTATGTAACTGCAGCTGTGATATTATTACTTATATTATATTATTATATTTGTGCGTCTATAAGGTCGCTGAGACAAATCGATTGACTAACCATGGTTGTGAGAATTTTCATAAGTATCGTCGTGGGTATATATAAAATATTAAAATACATAGGTGCATACCGTACACACATACACCAGTACAATTTAATTCGTATTGTACAGATAGATACACGACCCTCCACACATGAGAGTAAAATCACAAAATAAGACAATAGAAAAATCAATAGTGCGTTAGTGCCTAATATAAACTGTTGTACTGCACATAGAATATTATTGTTGTTTTTATTTTTATACCAGTTTTGGGATTGGCCCGAAGAGGACTCGAGTCGACCAGAACAGATGTAGATAGAAATCTGCTCGTTTTGACCGAAGCTCGGTCATTTTGCAGCCGGATTCTTTATTGAGAGGACAATATATTATTTTGAAAAATATTTTTTGTTATCTCCCTCGGTTCTCGGTCGTCTGGACGCTGGAGTGTCTAGACATACAAACGTCTACCCTTTTTTTGATGAGGGTGTTTGGAGGATTGGATAGCGTGATATTTTACGGGACCTTCGTGCAGGGTCAACGATAACAAATATGTCATATTATTGTCTTCTGCGAGCCGATTTCAAGTATACGCCTAATATATAATATTATTCCCTTATCCTCGGACTACCGCAGTGGACAACCATGTATTGAATTACCTAATGGTTTTTCCGAGCGATTAGACGTTATATTTTAGCTGTTCATCGCCACCAGTATCGTGTTTCGGCCACAACACGCGAAGTTCAACCAAATATGAGTACGATTCTTTTTCCAGTCGAATAAACCCCTGTATAAAATTGA